TCAAAGCAAGCATCTTTAGCATATGAGTTATTCTGAGCTTATAGAAAGAGATCAAGTTTATTAGGGAAATGACACAGGGGATCATTAAAATCCATTAATGTTGAATTGTTTTTTTAAGATACTGCTCCAGTTATTCTGATAGCAAGACAACACGCTACAGTCCAGCTATTGTTACCTGGTATAATTTAAAGGAAATCTTCTTAAAGCCTTCCTTGGAAGATGACTACTAGTCTATCTGCCTTTCCTAAACTAAGAGTCACTAGCTAACGGGTTGGTGACTTCCTCCTGGATCTCCTTAATGTCAGTGCCAAATATTGATCTATGAGTCATTAGACTTGCATTTAGCTTTGTCTTTTAAACACCAAGGCTTTGTGACCTTCCTGGGGCACAGGACAGAGAAGCAGTCCTTTCCTTCTTCCTCTAGCCCTACCTGTAAGATGACTCTCCAGAGGCCAGAGACTCTTCAGAGACGTTTAGTGAAAATAGCAATAAGGCCTGCAGGTAGGTTCTGAGTGAGAACAACCCCACTCTTCTCCAGTCTTCCCCATGCCAAATCTCATTTTGAAATACCCATCTTATCCCAGCCGGCGTGGCTCAGTGGTTGAGCATCCTTTTATGAACCTGAAGGTCCAGGTTTGATTCCTGGTCAGGGCCCATGCTAGGATTGTGGGTTCAGTCCCCAGAGTGGGCATGCATGAGGCAGCTGATCAATGATTCTCTGTCATCATCAATGTTTTTATCTCTCTCTCCCTCTCCCTGACTCTCTAAAATCAATAAAAAATATATTTTTAAAAATCACATTGGAGTTTTCTAGAGAACAATAGATCCTGACTTTCAAATATTTGCTGAATGTAATTTATTTGAAATTAACATTTCTGCCTCAAAAAGTATTGAACACTCATGGAATATTATATGTAAATCTCCACTATTAATTCAACTGGCTCATACTTGGAGAAAAATAGACTTCAAAAACATAATTTAGAAGGTCAGACCCCAAAACTATCTTACCCTGTTTATATCATTTGCATTCTTCCAAGTATTTATTTAATAAGTGTTTTGTATGTTGATTCATATTCCATATGTCATCTTTAGTGAAACGTGTTATCATAAGATAATTTGTCATTTGAATAAAGTACAGGACATTATTTAGTTTTAAGGCTATATAGTTACAGACTTAAGAAAATTAGATAGGATTAAAGTGAAGTGAGGTGCCGAAACCAGTTTGGCTCAATGGATAGAGCGTCGGCTTGGGGACTAAAAGGCCCCGGGTTCGATTCCGGTCAGGGGCATGTACCTTGGTTGTGGGCAAATCCCCAGTAGGGGGTATGCAAGAGGCAGCTGATCGATGACTCTCTCTCATCGATGTTTCTAACTCTCTATCTCTCTCCCTTCCTCTCTGTACAAAATCAATAAAATATATATTTTTTTAAATAAAGTGAAGTGAGGTGTATTTAAAAGAAATTTGATAAGTGCACAGACTTACTAGTATTATCAGGTTGGAATTGCTAAGTAGGGATAAGGGTGATTCTGACCATATTTAGTGTAACTCTTGATCTGATGCAGTGGTGCCAAGTGTGACCAAGCAGTGGATATGCTTGTCTGCATAGCAGTTCTTCCTTCCTCCCACTCCCATGTAAGTCTTCTTAGCTCATATGGTTTGATGGCACTGACCTTGCTCCAGGGTGCAAAGTGACCCGGGCCTGATCGATCAGAGCCCCCCTTCTCTCCCAGATACACAGGTTCAGGCATGCGACCCAGTCAATCAGTCTTTCCAAGGACTTTTGACGGAGTTAAAAGGAACAGGCTCACTTTTTATCTGTGATCATGAACTGTGAAGCAATCGAAGATAAAATCAAGATAAACAGCAACATTGAAAAGTAAAAAATATCAGTGTCCCGATGAAGTAGGTTGAACTCCTCACAACTGCCTGAAGCAGTTTGTCCCTTAGAATTTCCAGTTTCAAGATTTGATACACTTGGTATTTTTGCTGGAACAGGTTTGAGTTGGGATTCTGTGACTTGCCACCAAAAAAACAAAATAGATCACCTACCCCCTGACACTCACAATCACTTAGACAATTCATCTCCAAACAGAAAAACTCCTACTGATTTAGTCTGTAGGGTTGTTTTTAATAAAAAGCCAGAAAGGCCCAGATTGCTCGTTTGAAACACAGAACCCAGGTTAAGTTCAGCACTCAAAGATTCTGCCAGAACTTGCTTGACCTTGGGCCATTATATTCACTCTCCTCTGCTTCTGACCTCCCAGACATTGTTTTTCCTAGCAGTTTATAAGCAGTTGGAATATTGAAAGTATTCCATTTATTTTTTTCTTTTCAGTTATAAGTGAGCAGGGGGAAAAATGAGTGAAAGAAACAATGTCTATGTACAGAATTAGCCAACCAACACTTTATGATTTTTATCCAATTTTTTTTCATGACTAAATGAAAAAAAATTGAGCCTCTCCCTTGTATTTTGGGGACATTTTAATGAGTCATAAATTTTTCTCCATCACCATTTATCTCCCCCATACTCTCCACCACCTTTCCCACTCCACTCCCACCAATCACCACACTGTTGTCCATGTCCATAAGTTCTTTCTCTTTTTAAAAATTTTTTGCTCAATCACTTTACCCACCCCCAACAGCGGTCTGCCTGCTCTCTATCTATGAGTCTGTTTAGTTTTGCTTATTAGTTCAATTTAGTTCAATTAGTTCAATTTCATTAAATTCCACACATGAGTGAAATCATATGGTATTTGTCTTTCTCTAACTGGATAATTTCACTTAGCATAATACTCTCCAGGTTCACCCTTGGTGTTGCAAAGGGTGACATTTTCTTTTTTTACAGCTGTGTAGTATTCCATTGTGTAAATGTATCATAGCTGTTTTATTTGCTCATCTCCTCTCTCTCTCTCTCTCTCTCTCTCTCTCTCTCTCTCTCTCTCTCTCTCTCTCCCCCCCCCCCCCTCCTTTTCCCAGCAAATTTGGAAAACCTAACCATTCCTTTCCTCATTCCTCACTCCCACCACATTGACTGAAAGAAAGGCCCTCCATCTAATAAATGAAGTTTGGAAATCTGACCACACCATTAAAAGGCATATAATCAAGATCCTCATTATCCCTAACTGAGTAGCTGGGACTTAGGAAGCAAATGCTGCTGAGAAGGTGACCAATTCTAGGATAATACAACTCTTGTGGGTTTCCAGAAAGGTGGGTGGAGATCAGATAAAGGTGACAATGTCCTGGAGAGTAATTGTCCTGAGAGCAAGGAAGCACCTTTAGGAGCTGCAATGTAAAAAAGATGGGAGCTTGACGGGAGAGAAGAGAGTGGGGGAAGGGAAGAAAGGCAGGGGGGTAGTGAGGGTTACCTTGTTGGATGATTTTCCTTGGACTATGGGGAGAGGTTTCTAGGCCCCAGTCTGTAACTCCTGAACTCGGTTTTTCAAGTACAAAAGACAAAAAATCTAAATGTTTGAATTTGAGAAACTTTGATTTATAAAATTCCTGAACCACGTTTTATTTGCTCATCCCCCTCCTGCATGGGAGAGCCAATGAGAATTCAACCGACATTGCATTCCTGACCATCCACCCTGCTGGAGGAGGGGCAGGAAAGTTTATGAAATGCAGTTTGCCCCGGAGTACAGGAGCTGGGTGACAGATCCCCATGCTCTTGAGACTTCTTTCAAGGCAGAAGAATCATTTGGAAAATGGACAGTTGGCTTCACTGCCATCTGAGACCATGATGTTCTGATTTCTTTGTTCTGCGCTTGAAGGTCTATGTTCAGCCGAGACCAAAGACCCTTGGTCTTTGGAGAAGGCTTCGTTTTTACTTTTGGGGCTGACTCCAGAGAGGCCCGAGGCAGCATTCCCCAGGTATGTATGGATAGAAAAAACACTATCTATGTCTTTAAGCATCCACTGGAGGTTTTGGAACATATCTGCTGTGGAGAAGATGACAAACCAAGCCATCATTTATGGCTCAGACCTGGGCCTTTGTGTTCTGAGATATCTGGGAACAGGTATCAGAAACCTAGTTACCAAGGAGGAAAAAAACAGGAATTTTGCCACCAGGGAGTTGATGTCACAATGGTACCAAGGATCACTCTAACTTAAACCTGAATAATAAGCTCTTGGCCTGAGAGACCAGAGTTCTGAGCTCTGTCTCAGACTTTACGAGTGCTGATTAGTAAAAAAGGAGGCCTGGACTTGAAATCTGGAAGCATGGCCTGGTGTCAGCTCTGCCGCCAATGAATCGGGGTTGGCAAGCCCACGGAACTTCCCGGGGGCGCCATAGCGCTCTCCTCACAAGAAAAAGGTTAGATATGGTATGTGAATCTCTCAGATTCTTTATTTACAATAATGTCTTATCAGAAATCCCAAAGGTATGTGAACATGAGAAGTTTCTACTCATCTTTAAATCATGTGCTTCTAGAGCCGTGGTCGGCAAACTGCGGCTCGAGAGTCGCATGCATCTCTTTGGCCCCTTGAGTGTGGCTCTTCCTCAAAATACCATGGCCTGGGCAAGTCTATTTTGAAGAAGTGGTGCTAGAAGAAGTTTAAGTTTAAAAAATTTAGCTCTCAAAAGAAATTTCAATCATTGTACTGTTGATATTTGACTCTGTTGACTAATGAGTTTGCCGACCACTGTTCTAGAGAATTTCTAAATTTCCAATGTCTCTGCTAACAGGAAATGAGCTGAATTTTCAAAGGTGAGTGGGGAGGAGGAGGGAATAAAAAAATCTAGATAAAAAAGTAGGGGACAGCTGGACTTCCAATCTCCACCGAAGGAACTCTGATATCACAGTTTTCTATTAAGAAAAATATGGTCACAATACGCTTTAGTGCTCTAACTAGTTTTTGACATGAGTAGAATTGACATTTATAATTTATAATTAAGTATCATTTGGATATACACTTTTGTTATATCTCTTTTTTTTGTAAATAAATAAAAAAAAATCACAAGCTATGACCAGTTGACTCTCTGTAATGCTTTCAGAATGCACTACTTTAATTCTGCAATGATTGTTCCAAGGTCTTCCTTAAGGGCACCACAGAGCTCACTCACCTTTTCTTCTCTTTTATAAAACTGAAAGGTTGGGACATAAGTGATCCCACGGTCTTGCACCAGCTCCTCACAGTCATCAACATCTACGTGCAGGAACACTACATCCTCGTGCTTCACAGACAGGGAACAGAAAAGGGGTTTGATGGTCCTGCAAGGCATACACCACACGGCCGAGAAGACCACGGCCACCAGCCTCTCCCCTGCCTCCTTGAGCGCCAAGTCAAAATCCTCTTTGCTCAGGATCCTTTTCACCATGTCGACCTTCAAGAGCCCCTCGGTTTCTTCTGCCGTGACGTCACCTTCTGCAGGCTGGATGGTTTCTGAGGACTTGGTGGTGTCACCCTCCTTGAGCTGGATGGTTTCTTCTGAGGATTTGGGGGTGTCACCCTCCTTGAGCTGGATGACTTTCTTCTCTGAGGACTTGGTGGTGTCACTCTCCTTGAGCTGGATGGTTTCTTCTGAGGATTTGGGGGTGTCACCCTCCTTGAGCTGGATGACTTTCTTCTCTGAGGACTTGGGGGTGTCACCCTCCTTGAGCTGGATGACCTTTTCTGAGGACTTGGGGGTGTCACCCTCCTTGAGCTGGATGACTTTCTTCTCTGAGGACTTGGGGGTGTCACCCTCCTTGAGTTGGATGACTTTCTTCTCTGAGGACTTGGGGGTGTCACCCTCCTTGAGCTGGATGACTTTCTTCTCTGAGGACTTAGGGGTGTCACTCTCCTTGAGCTGGATGACTTTTTCTGAGGATTTGTGGGTGTCACCCTCCTTGAGCTGGATGACTTTTTCTGAGGACTTAGGGGTGTCACTCTCCTTGAGCTGGATGACTTTTTCTGAGGATTTGTGGGTGTCACCCTCCTTGAGCTGGATGACTTTTTCTGAGGACTTGGGGGTGTTGTCCTCCTCTGGCTGGATGGTTTCTTCTGGAGATTTGGAGGTGGCACCCCACTTGGGTGAAATGTTCTTTTCTGATAGCCTGGGAGTATAGTCCTGCTTTGCCTGGAAGGCTTCTTTGGGAAATTTGGAGGTGACACCCAGCTCGAATGAAATGCTCTTTTCTGATAGCTTGGGGGTGTAGCCCTGCTTTGGCTGGAAGGTTTCTTTGAGAGATTTGGAGGTGTCACCCGGTTTGAATGAATTGGATTTTGCTGATAGCCGGGGAGTGTAGCCCTGCTTTTGCTGAATGGCTTCTTCTGGAGATTTGGAGGTGACACCCAGCTCGAATGAAATGGTCTTTTCTGACAGCCTGGGGGTGTAGCCCTGCTTCGGCTGGACGGTTTCTGTGGGAGATTTGGAGGTGACTCCCGGCTTGAATGAAATGTTCTTTTCTGATGGCTTCGGAGTGTTGCCCTGCTTTGCCTGGATAGTTTCTTCTGGAGATTTGGAGGTGTCATCCGACTTGGGTGAAACGTATTTTTCTGAGGACTTGGGCATGTTGTTCTTCTTGGATAGGATGAGTTTTTTTGAGAAAATGAAGTTGTCACTTTGCTTGGTTGGGATGGTTTTTGCTGATGAACTAGGGGTGTTAGCCTCGTTAGGAAGGATGCTTTTACCTGGGGATATATGAGCATCATTGTGTTTAAGGGGACTAGTTTTAGTTGGAAAATTGAAGAGGTCACTCTGTTTAGGTGGGATGGGTTTTTCTGAGGAATTACCAGGGTTACCCTCTTTGGGAAGAGTGGCTTTCCTAGAGGAATTAAAGATGTTGCCCTCTTTAGGCAGGACCGTTTTGCCTGGGGAACTGGATGTGTTGCCTTGCCTGGGCTGCATGATTTTCGCTGAGGAATTGGGAGGGTCACCTTCCTTGGACTGCATGGTTTTTGCTGAGGAGCTGGCGTCTCTCCTCTGCTCAGGAAGAAACGTGTCCTCGAGTTGCGGATCTTTGGAGTTCTCTGCAGGCATGTGCTGTGCACTGCTGACATTGTGGGCAAAGGCTTTCTGGGTGAGTGCTGGATCCAAGAACTCCGGGGCCAGGGGAGTCACATGGCCGGGCAGAACCTGTAATAGTGGAATCTCTGAACAAAACAGCAGATAAAATAAAATAAAATAAAATGGAAAAAAAAACAACACCTCCTCCAAAAAAAATTTTGATCATATACTCCAAAGACTTGTGTCATCTTTAGAGCTCACCAACATAGTCTTAGAATGATGTATTCATTGGAATAATCACATTCAACAAAAGGCCAAGTATCATGTGGTTGCATGTATCCTTTATATAGGTTTTTTTGTTTGTTTGTTTTGTTTTTTTGTTTTTAGATTACAATTTTCTCAGTTTAGTCTTACACTACTGCATACTCCCAAAGCAAACAGGTCCCCGAAGGCGAGACCCTCCCTCCCTCTTACCATTAGGATCACCTTCATGTGTTTCTGGTTGTTTGTCAGGACTCATGTTCTGTTTTTCTGGGGATCCAGCTTCACCACTTCGCATTCTTATTTCATAAATGTCTCATAGTTAACACAAGGCTGTGCCCTCCAACTTTTCCAACCTATTCAATATCTTATAATGAGCAGCAACTTATATTTGTGTAGTTACAGATGGTTTTTCATCTCTGTACTGAAGAGTTTCATGGCAGCCTCTATGGTGGTCATACTGAGCATGAGGCTGCACCTGGGGCCTGATACACACTCATAAGCATTATTTTCTATAGCACAACAAACCACTGAGGTAAGTACCATTATGATCCCTCACTTTGCAAATGAGAAAACTGAACCTGAGAGAAGTTGCATAACTCACTCAAGGTCACAGAACTAGTATGTGGGGCAGGTTCTGGGGCCTCCCTCTCAATACTACACTGTTTGCCAAATGACCTGTCCAAGATGGGTAATTTGAAACCAACTTTCCTGAAATCTCCCTCTAGGGTTCTCCAGCTCCAGTTTTCTCTTTATGACTCACTCACTGTAACCATCTCCTCCTAACCACGTTACCCTCCTCTGCCAAGCCCTGCCTGCCTGTCAGAAGCCCTGCTGGAGCCATTTAGATGAGAATAGATTGTGACACAGATGGCATTCCCTCCTTTAGAGGAAGAAATAAAAACCTCAGCCCTTCCATCCCGGTAGGTGGGGAACCAAGAGGACAGATATGTGTGTCCTGGCCTCCTCTCTCCAGGTGGAAACCTAAGCATGGATGCAGGTTGGATGTGTTTGGAGGACAGCTAAAAGGAGAGCAGTATTTGCCTCATTTTCCAGCTGGAAGGCCATGAATGTCTCACATCCACATGGACTCCACATCCACACAGTAGGCCATTGGCAGAGGGTGTGACCCGGCGTGCACATGCCAAGGATCCGGAAGTCCTGAACACTCCACAGTGGGGCTGTGAGGGTTCTGAGAAAGCAGAGAGAACCAGCAGAGGCTTCAAAGAGGAACAAAGAAGCCATAGTGTAGGGGGTTTTGCAACCAGAAGCAAGGACTAGAGGCACAAGCTCTACCAGCAGGAAACCACACAGGGCCCCAACCCCTAGATATAATCAGGGGTCCTCTGTGGTCCTCAGGCTAGGGACCAGACCAGCAGAAGCAGAGGGGCTGGCAATAACCAGTCCACACAGGAGGAATTGGAAAGAGCAAATTGCTATCAAAATGAAAAAGTATTCTTTGGGTTAAAATACCACAAATAGATTTAATTTCATGTCTCTGTTCCTCACCAATCCTCTTCATATCCCATCAAGATAAGGCTTCTGGGAAAGAGAAGATACACTCAAGAAAAAATTTAAAGTCACATTGTATCTGTACATCTTAGCAATGAGTGAGGAAGTGATCCCGTTATATTTATACTTAGAGATTTGTGTTTTCCGTTCAGCAGAGCTGTTCCAATTATTCCTGCTCTTCATTCTGCAATTCAAATGGATTCTAAGCAACTTAAAGTATTGATTATTCAGAGGCATCAATATTTCTATCTTTTTTTCCTTTTAGCACAAGCTTGCCCCCAAATTGCTCAGGAGCAATATGGTTATACTAGTGACCCAGTGCACAAAATTTGTGCACATTAAAAGGGGATTAATTAGAGGAAATAATTTAATGTTGCTATTTGCCTTTCTCTATAATAGAAGTGTCAGAGATGAAAGAAAATTAGTAAAATGTATATGAAATCCTTCCTCCTGTCAGAGTCTGGGCTCACCACAGGACCCAGAGTCAAGTTCCTGCCCACCCACATAAACCTCAAAATTGCATGAGACCCAGACCCAGGCACCCCGACCCCCTCATTGGGTTAGATCCAGACCTGGCTGGCCAGTCTCACCCTTGTCAAGCCCTGCTGGGAAGGGGGTGTAGCCTCAGGTCCCCTGGCTGGGTGTCAGGATGAGTGTCATCCTGTGCACCAAAGGGTTGCTGATTCAGTTCATGTTCAGAGCATATACCTGGGTTGCAGGTTTGATCCCCAGGTGGGACACAGGCAGAAGGCAGCTGATCAATGTTTTTTTAAAAATATATTTCATTGATTTTTTCTTACAGAGAGGAAGGGAAAGAGATAGAGAGCTAGAAACATCGATGAGAGAGAAACATCGACCAGCTGCCTCTTGCACACCCCTACCGGGAATGTACATGCCCTTGACCGGAATTGAACCTGGGACCTTTCAGTCCGCAGACTGAAGCTCTACCACTGAGCCAAACCGGTTTTGGCTGATCAATGTTTTTTTTTTTTTTTTCTCTCTCTCTTTTTTTCTCTCTCAGCATGTCTTTGATGTTGATTAAAAAAAAAAATGAAGCTGTATCTGTATGATGAAATATTACTCAAACATAAAAGAGACTGCAATATTGCCACTTGAGACCTAGAGAATATTGTTAAGTGAAATAAGTCAGACACGTAAACAAATACTCTATGATTTCACTTATATGTAGAACCTAAAAAAAATAAATAAATAAAATAAAACAAAACAGAAACCAACTCATAGATACAAAGAACAAATTGATGGTTACCCGAGGGGAGAGGGTTGGGCATAAAATGGGAAGGAATTAAAACTAAAAGAGAATAGACTTTGCCCTAGCTGGTTTGGCTCAGTGGGTAGAGCCTAGGTTTGATTCCAGTAAAGGGCACTTGCTCGGGTTGCGGGCTCGATCCCCAGTAGGGGCGTTCAGGAAGCAACAAATCAATAATTCCTTCTCATCATTGATATTTCTATCTCTCTCTTCCTTCCTATCTGAAATCAATAAAAATATATTTTAAAAAATAATATAGTAGACATTAATATTGAAAAAACATAATTTTTTTAAATGAATGTTTTTCTTTTCTACTTCCAGTTGTATGTAGAGGATCTGTCATGATTAATCAGTATTGAATCTAAGGTACAAACTTGTGCCTTTTTATCTAGCTCTCTGAGTTCATTATTCCGTGCATTCCTCATTAGTTCTGGACACAGTGGTACCTGTGTTTTGCTCAAGGGAGAGTCGGTTATTGATTTTACTCAATTCCTTTGTTCTAATATTTAACCCCCAACATTATTGTGATTGGAAAGATTTTCAGTATAATATTTAAAGCTCTCGTGTAAATATTTACTGGAAAATTCAGTTTGGAGCTGCTTTGGTAAGGTCCAGATTAGTTGTAAATTTGTTGATGTTTTAATGCTAATATGCTGCTACAAAGCTGAAAGTGCACATGACCCCTCCTAGTGCTCTCTGCACATGGTTCCTGGAATATCCCTCAGCTCACCTCCTAAAGGAAGGCAGACAAGCGAGTTAACAAACCACGGAGCCTGCCTGCCTCTGGAACAAGTGGCACCCATAGCAGAGGTAGAGCAGAGCTTCGGGTCTCATTGAACGCCCCTCAGTGCATTAATTGTCGCTTTGTTGTTCAGAATCATGACACTGAACTTCCAGGGAAGGGTCCAAGATCGTTTTCACCATAAGTGAGTGTGGCTTCAAAGGGCACTTAATGAATGGATGGTAAAGACATGAATGAATTACAGCAGGTACAGTGGGAAACAGTTGAAGATTTAAATTAAAACACTTTAAAATATATTTTTGATAAAATTAACTTTTTTAGCATATGAGAGATCACCATTTGCACCTTGACCCCTAAATAAATAAGAGGAAGGTTTTTATAAAAAAAAAAATTATTGCCATAAAACTTACCCAAACTATCCATACCAAGTACAAAATCAGAATACTGAAAAACAAATGTTTAAACCCAAAAAAAAAAAAAAAGAGTGAAATGTTACATAACCACCTGGTCCCCTCCTGTCAGCACCACACATTTAGTGGAACAAGGTCACCAGGCATACACTTTCCCTCCCCAGTCCAAGTCCAAGTTTCTTGAGGGCAAAGGGGCATTGCGTTGGTGTCTCAGTCTTTAGCTTGGCTTGCAACACACAGACACTCGAGAAAAACTTTCACTGTAAAGACTGAAGTGCCATGTGGGTTTCTCTCTCTCTCTTTTTTTTTTTTTTTAAATGTGTGTTTATTGATTTTAGAGAGAAGAAAGGAGAGGGAAAGAGAGGAAGAAATATCTATGAGAGAGAAACATCGACTGGCTGCCTCTGGCATTCCTTTCCCCCGAAGAAGAAGGTTAAAAAAACAAAACAAAAAAACTATTGCCACAAAACTTTCCCAAACTATCCATACCAAATACAAAATCAGAATATTGAAAAACAAATGTTTAAACAAAACAAAAAAGATCAAGCCCACAACCTGAGCAGGTACCCTGACTGGGAATCAAACTGGCGACCTCTTGGTGTATGGGACGGCATTTAATCTCTTGAGTCACACGGGATGGGCAGTTAACTTCCTGGTCCTCTGATACAATACTGAGAGTAGAGAATAGAAATGCCAATTTATTCTAGATTCACTGTGTTTAGTGAAAAAGAAAAATACTATCTTTAAAAAACATTATTTGACTTTAACTTACTGACTAACGTGCTATCCCAAACTCTACAGTGATTAGAAGAAGGGCTGTTATTTCCCCCCCCCCCCCCCCCCCGAGGACAGGGGAAAATTCCCAGGAGTGTTTTCCAGCCCCGAGAAGCTGCGCGCACTGCCAGGCAGAGAAGAGCAGATGGAGGTGCCCTGCCTAGTGGGGAGAGAGCAACCACAGGTGAAGGTGTCAGGAGCCGTGGCCACAGCCACTGGCAGGCAGGGACAGAGGCTGGGCTCAGAGGAGAGGGATATTTACCACAGGCTACAGCAGTGGGATTGTATTTAATTTACAATAAGTTGTCACAGAAAACGGCATGCTGTGATCTGTGTGTTAGCAGATTCACTGATAGCATATCCAATGATAGATCTGAGGGCCAAACACAGAATTCAAAGTTAGCTGTTCAGAAACAATCACACTAGTTAAGAGAAAACATAGTAAACTGGGACAGTGGAAAGAGGGTTAGGAAGTTCAAGGCATTCCAGAAATAAAATGACATCATCTGATAGATGCTTGAGAGGAGCTGAAACGGACGCTCTCATGTGAGGCCCAAGCCACTGAGAGGATGCAATGCACTAAGTGACAAGGT